GCTATTTCCAATTACGTCTATCGCTGAAATTTTACACACAATGACCTTCAAAATTTTTGAAAAAGTAATTCCATATTTTAAGGAATCAAAGCGCGATTAACCCGTGTGAAGAGGAATTTGGAAATAAAATCTCATTCTTCATGGCTTGACCGAGTGACTAGACGATCAACAACATCAACAGCCGTTTGAGAGCCGCACGCGATAGGATTAGAGCTACCAAAGGATTTCAGTTGGAAGTTTGCTTTCTTCTCTTCTCCTCTTTCTTCACCTTTGTTCTATCAACTCCTATTCCCTTCCAAATCCGAGATCGGCACACATTTGGATGATGTCCCAATTCTAAAACTGCGATTGAGGAAGAAAAAAAAAAAAAAAAAAAAAAAAAAACAATTAAACAGGCTACAAACATACACGCATTTGAGAATTACAAACGACCGGCACAAGAAAACGGTTAGAATTCGCAAAGCACAGACTTAATCGCTCTCATATTCGCGGTAACAGTCGCTGCCTAGTCGCGTCGAATATCCTTCATCTCGGTGGTACCAGAATAGTTGCAATCAAATGCCCTGGAGCCTGCGCTGAAGAGAGCTTCATTAATAGCCATTTGGACTTTGTCCACGGAATTGGTGCTGCCGGGATACAGTGGATTGCGTACTCCGTACGGATCTGTGTCGGTGATGGTGATGTTCGGAATCCGGTACGTTGTCCAGGGGATAGTGGGGTCGCTTTGGCCAATGCCGGGAGAGCGGACATATCTGGGAGCATGAGTGGATAGGGATCGAGTAGCAGGAGGATCGTGCGGATGGGTCATATGGGAAACCATCGAAGGCCATGAGGTCCAATATGGGTCGTGGGAAAGGTCATGTTGCTCTGAAGCTCTGCTCGTAAATTGGTTGTTGTTGTCGTTGGTGAAAGGAGCAATGTACCCAGGGACCGCACCCTGATGGGTCGTGGTAAGAACAGGAGGAGCAAGAGTCATACTCTCGTTTATGGTGTTATATTGGTGGGTACCTGGGGATTGTCTGTTGGCTTCTCTGGAGGGTATGCCGTCCATTGCCGTCACTTCGTCCATGTTGATCCTATGGCACATGTTTTGGGTTTCTCCATTATATTTATCATCGATGGCCCTCTCATCTTTGATCTCCGTCGAACACAAGACATCCGTCTGCTTCGTCCTCTTTTTGTTAGTCTCTCCATGTTGAGCTGCCTTGCGTTTGACAGCCAATGGGATGTCATCGTCGTCTGTATCCCCAGAGTCAGGTTCAGATGAACCGCGAGCACAATTCGGCCCCATCTCTTGCTGATTATAGACCATCAGATGAGGTTCAATTCCCATTTCTCTATCCGTCATTGTTGCGTTTTCTCCCGGACAACCCGAACGCCACATCTGATTTTCCATTTTCACCATGACCCCTTTCGATTTCGCTTGGCTAGATTTGCACCGTTGTTTGGATTTCCCTACGATCCCAATACATTGATTGGCCCTTTCAGGGGACGTTATGGAATTCGTTGTACCAGCTTCGATTGCCTTCTTAAGACGAGAAAAGCGCATACGAGCAGCAGGAGGGTTCAAACTTGTCGCCTCTCCCACAGCTTTGAAATCGATCTGTCACGCATATCTCGCGTATCAATGGCCAAATGATATCAAAAAGCAACGTTTGGAGCGTAAGGAAGGGGGCGGGTAATAATTGAAGGTGTGGAGTGTACCACTCTGGAATGAATGCTACCAAAAAATATACGCAACGTGCTCAGTAGTAGGGGAATCGCAGACTCACAGTCTTGTAGTCTGATTTTTGAAGACAGGTATATAGGAACCATAGGTTCACATCGGTCTGGGTTTTGGAAGGCATACCTGAACAAGTTCTCCTGTAAGAATTGGATTATAGAAGTAATTTTCGGAGTGGATATCTTACAAAGCCCCTTATCTGTTCAGCAAATGACCAATTCAAAATGAGAACACCCCAGCATACGTTGATATGGAAGGGGAAGGTAAAACTGGACAAGTGGATAATGAACATGTAAGAAACGTGTATGGATTGGAGCGAAATGGCTAGTCAGGAGGAAATCTGCGTGGATGGAAATGAAGAGAACAACAAGCCCAGGTGAATATTAAAGAACAGAAACATCGCCAGATAGTTATTGCAAATTATCAATTGATCTTAGAATAACGAGGAGAGCAGGGTAATACTTTAAGGAAATGTTCTTTTCAACATGAGCTGCAGTTCGCCTGAATATCTGTATATATCCGAGTTTGTTACTCTGATATTAAGATGGACAAATGATCACATGTAGAAATTTAAAATAAGAGAAATAGATATAGCCAATTGCAAATGTATATTGTAGGAAATGCATGAAGAAAAAGCCGGTCCATCCCATTGTACATGTATCAACTGGTCGTCACATCATTACAACTCCTTTCTATTGTTTCATTTCAATATCTTCTGTACCTGAACCAGACAATGCCAACTTCTTGCCTGCATGTATAGCAAAACGCTCTGCTGACTCTCTAACAGCTTCCGCAAGAACCGCCTGTGTTCCTCGCGCTGCGTCAACAGCTCCATCTATCAGAGCTTCATGTTGGGCAGCTGCATTCTGCGACCCAGCTGATATGTTAGAGGTGTCTCCCTTGAGCCACAGTTCGGTAATCTCGTCACGGGATGGCATATAGCCTACAACACAGGCGGATACAATCCCGAGGTGTTCGGATGGATCTGGATCCAATACTAATGAGTAGCCATGTCCCCTCTGGGACGAGTCTTTTGTTCGCCCTGAAGTTTCAACGGTTAGGACTCTCCACAAAAGCAGCAACACCCCCAGTGATAAG